TTTTCATTTCTGTTGAGTAGAGGTAGGTGAGGAGATTAAGAGTCACGGGAGAACCCAAACCCATATATTCACTTAGTATTGCCCAATTATTTTACAAATACATTGCTGTGCCTGGTTCTGCAGGTCTCATGCACTGTCTTCCACTCACCTAGTTTCTCTACTTCCGCACGTTTTAAGAGAAATTACTGTAACTCTCCGATGCAAACTTTGTGACCTCTCTCTAGTCATGCAGTTGGCTATCTAGGCACCCGCAGAATTCATTTTTCTGATTGCTCTTCATTTCTTTGCGGATGTCTATATTGTCTTTCTCCGAGTCTTCTCCTGAAACAGTAAATGATTTTAGATGTGTTTCCCTGCAATTTCCCAAATGGTTTAGGCTATGTAAAATGATGAATATTCTACAAAACCACTCATCAACTATTTAAGTGAGAATTTGGAGATTTTTCTCTTCTCTAGCAGCAAATTCACACAGTCTGCTGCTGATTTAAAATATGTACTGCAGGCGACCCTAACACTGGGATTTGGCCAAGTTCAAAGCAGCTGTGCAGATGGACACAGAAGACAGAAGGCAGAGGGAAATAGACCCTTTTAATCATAACAAGGCTGCTCTTGTTTTCCTATCTATAGTAGAAATGCATGCCAGCCCCTTGTACTTAAAAGCAAGCTTGCAAATGTGCCAGAATAGACAGCAACAGCATTTTTTATTAATGCAAAGTTAAAAATGTGACAACCTGTCTTCTCAGTACTGCTCTTTACATCTCCATTTCCAGACTGATGCTGTACTGCTGCAAAAAGTGCACATCCGATCGCTGTCGGTGGGATAAGAATTTCCCCCCACAGAACTCAGGCCTTTTGAAAGTGCGTGGCTTTGTTAATGATTGCTGAAACCAGCCACGACCTGTCCTTTTGAGATGGTTGTAATGACTTATAAATCAATTTCTCGTTAGAAAGAACTTTTTTTTTCTTTTTCCCGAAGGTGCCATTGTTGCCCATGAAAAATGATTGGGTTTGCAACATAAGGTTGGAGCACATTTTATTCTGCCGGTTGTGCCTCATGCAGGGGCATTATGGTGATACACACACCAGGCCTGGTTCTGCCTCTCTTCACTAGGAGCATCCTTTTTTTGATCAAGCTACCAATATCCAGATTACAGATAAAATAGGTATTTCACTACTGTGTGTGTTAAAATAATGTCACTCATCATACTTTGGTTGGACTGTTGGTGAAACTGGATGTTCTATACATTTCAGATGTTGTCTTGTTTGTGTAGATCGAGGCTAGGTGGCATCAAATTGTACCTCATCCTGTGTTAACCTGTTTTATGGCAATTGTATATTCTTCTTAAAAAAGGCGTGTTTACTCACTGCAAAGTACCGAGCAGAAACAGTTCCGTAGGGAATACTGTCAGTTCCCTTTCAGCCCTCACTGGAGTAATTTTCATATTTCTGCATTTTAGGAAACGTTTCAAAGTTTGTGCTTAGGGCTTTGGGGGGCTCCCCCCTTCCCATTGTGGTGAATATGTGAAACGTGCTCTTAGAAATCATTGTTTGTAGCCAATTTTGCCTCTGTTTAAAACAGTACAATACTGGACTCCAGACTATGTGTGTCCCTGAAAAATTAGGTGGAATAGGTTTGGAGTGTGTATATAGGCACCTATATATATATGTACACACATGCAAAATAATTTTTACAGGATTTCAGTGATAGACGTACTCATTTCAGATTCTTGCTTTTCCCCAGGAAGGCTGTGTATGGGGGAATTCAAAAAGATATTCAGCACTTATCTTGCCTATATTTTTTGTACCTACACTTCTAGCTTGTCTGCTTGTCCTCTGGCTCTGGGAATTTGAGTTTACGCATGACAAACACTACTGCAGCATTTGTGAGACTTTGCATAGTTGTTCCTCTAGGCATGTGAATGTGTTTGTGTATGTCTATCTGTAAGTTTATGCATAGAAATATATATTATATATATACACTATATATACACACAGGCACAAAAATACAAAGTCATAACTCATCTCTCAGTATCTTTTAACTATTTTTCCAAATCTGATGTAATATTGGTTGAAGTCTCTCCGCAATTTGTTGTTCTGGCTACTTGGATATCAGATTCTACTGTAATTCTTTCTCACTTCTCCTCTTCTCTCCCTCTCTCCTTTTTTAAAAAAAGAAAAGCATCTGCATATTTCGAAGACATGCACCATTGCCAAGCAATCTGGTGTAGTGGCTTAATATGCTGGCAAATAATTTCACAAGTTGTTTGTGTGTGTGAAGGCAATATATTTGAATATCATTATATTCTGATTGTAGCTATGAAGAGAGTTATCTGAGCTTATTTAAATTTTATGAAAGGCCAGACAGCTCCAGAACTGAAAGAATGTTTCACAATTTTTAATTGGAGTGCATATTTTCGTCCTTCACTAATGCTGATGGTGTGGGACATCGCATTTACCAAAAGCCCTTCTGTCCTAGCTTCTGAGCACTGCCAATACTTGGTGGCCTAATAACAGAGAAGTAGACTCCTGAGGACTGAGGTAGAAGGGATGTTGCTTTGCAATGTGTTGCTGACCTTCTGTGCCCTAACTTTCTGTTGTCGCCTATAGACCCCTCTTCCCCTCTCCCCTTTCAGTGTGCTTATCCACTCTATGGGTCACTCCGTGGCTCCGTTTCAGCTCTCTGTCTTCCTCTCCACCTCTGAGGTCTGTATCCTGTACTTCATTTTCCTGAAGCAGTTTGATGTTTATTAATGTCCCTGGCCAGATTTGCTCAACTGATCTCTCCTGAGTGTCCCCAGCTTGGTCCCATGTGTCTGTGAGTACAGCGCTGTCCTTTTCTGTGACCTTAGCGAGGGTGGCTTCTCAGAGCCCTTTGCGTCTTCCTTTGCCGTTTGAATACAGATCAGAAATGGACTTTCAAAAGAGCAAGTCATTGCCTGCAGAGCAGTGGGTCTGTTCTTTCTTTACGGTGAGATCTGAAAATCCCACTAGCTATATCCTTCAGCTTACGGAGGTGTCTCTGAAGTTTGCGTAGCTCAGAAGAGGAGGGAGGTTTTCTCCCATGAGTTTTCTCCTTCACCTGATCTGCTTTCCCCAAGCCGATCACAAAGGCAATTCTTCTCTTTCCCCTCCCAGGGGCTCTTTCCACTTGGGTCTTCCTCTCTTAGCTTTCCCTGGTTTCCTCCCGTCTCACCTGGAGACGTCCTATTCCCTGTATGAGGACAGTAGTTACCTGTCCTCTTTCTTCCCAATCCCCTTCACACCAGTCACTTAACCCACATTACCTTCGCTCTCAGCATCTCCTTGCTATCTCACCAAGTCTTTGATTAAAACTTGTTATGGCCACAGTTTGTTGCAGGGGGAGGAGAAGGTAGATGTGCGCTCTGTGCAGTTTATGAGAGTTCTCCCTGGAGCCTGATGCTTTTGCTGCCTTTCTGTCTCTAATCCTTACTCTTTTAATAAAGTTCACTAATATTTTCTGCTGCAACGAATTCTTGACCTTTTTTGCTCTGCTCTGGCCATTACATGGAAGCTGTTTTCTTGGAGTGGTTATCTCTCTTTTTTTTTTTTTTTTCTCCTCCTAATAAATGTGTTTTTCCCCCAGTTTCATCCTCTAGATGTTACATTCTTCTGGGGACCTTTAGCATTTAGCATCCAGTGCAGCCTCAATCTTTTATGTCCTGCTCTGCTCTTTCAAATGACTTCTCTCCCTTCAACTACACATTGTGTGCTAAGCTGCTGTCTCTTCTAGGTACTTCCAGGAGACTGAGTGTTCAGCCCCCATCACTTTCGCACCTGGCTGGGCTTCTCTGTCTCCATTTAACATTTATGTCAATTCTGCTCAGCAGTAATAAGCACCTGCACCTTTTGGCATTAGAGAATGGCTAGAAAAGAGGCTGGAAATGAAGCAATTTCTGTTGGAATATTAAAATGCAAGATAAACCCTTTTGTGAAAAAGAAAAAGTTTGAGAGTTCAAAATTGACCAGCTTAATGAGTTCTTTTCCATTTTCTTTAAAATGGAAGTACCATAACATTGTATCAAACTTTTCGTATTACCTGTTCATTGTGCTTTGTTGGGAAATGGGTCCCTAAACTGGAGCTGATTTTAAGCAAATACCAGCTCACTCTTGCTTCACTGTTTCCCTTTCATCTGAACCTTTCATAGTTTAGCAAGCCTCTTCACCCTCTCACAAAACTATATCTTTAAATGAAATTAAGATGTATAAACTGTGAAAGATGTTAAAATCTCACGTTCATACCGTCTTTTTGTTGTTTTAAGAAAGCCACCTCTGCCTTCCCTCCTCCCAAAAGCTGGGCAGACCAGGTAGCTGTAGTTTCCCATTAATGTGACCCTGACGGTCCCCTTGCTGGTTTGTGCCTTCAGTACTTTGTCTTGTCTCCAACCTGGTAGGAAATGTCTGTGTAGGGGGTTGTATTTCACAAGCTGAGGGATTTTGAGTGAACTCAAGAGCTTTGGAGGTTTTTCACAGGCAGATGGGGCAGCTGTCCCCGCACCTGGGGCTGGGTGGGATGTGGGAGACACATCCTTGGTTCCCTTGATTCAGAGAAATTAAGGGAAACCAGGTGTGCCAGGTGTGCACCCCGGTGCTTTTATTTGCTGATGTTTGGCTTTCGATCCAACGTGGAACAGCTCGAGCAGTTTAGACACGGGCAGCAGAACGGAGAGGTTGCCAGCATGCTCACCTGGCTTGCAGGAGAGCAAAGCACGCATCCTTCGCCTGCACCAAACGGAGCAGGACTTCAACCTCGCTTTTGAACCTCTCTGATCTTAGACACGCGCGCATGCCCCGGCTGTTTGAGAGATAAGACACAGCCTCTTCTTCTCTTGTGCCTGCAAGTCACCTGTGCTAAAACTGGTACACGCATCTCACCAACAAAACTGTGGAGGGAAGAAATAATGTTCTTTCTTTTAAAAACATTGTTGGTCGCTGATTAACGCTCTGTTTTCCCCGTTGTTTTGTTTTTGTTGTTCAGATTGTCAGCTGCTGGATGCTGGGTGGTGTCACGTAGGGGTGGTTTGCCCCCAAGTTAGAACAATCCAGCCCCTATCCTGCTAGTGTGCAAATGGTATGTTAATTAACATAAATAACCATGTAGCTGTGGTTTCTTGCTAATTAAGGTTCAACTTGTCAAAGATACCATCATGTTACATAAGAACAAAATTTGGTTCAGTACTTGCATGCCCTAGTTTACCCCATAGCTGATGGTGTGTTGCTGTAACTGGAAGATAGCGTCCCTCATTTGCACCTCTCCTAGTGTCTGTGCCCCTTCCCGATCCCTCACATAGAGAAAATTCACTGAAGTGAATGCAAGTTTTCCTGAATTAGGAGTGACAGTGTATTTGCCGTTTATAGCCTAGGAGTCACAGTCTTGGAGATGGAGTAGTAAAATAGTAAATAGGATAGGGGTAACATTGCTTTCACGTTCTTGTCAACATGGGTTTTTTTTCTTGCTCGGTGTTACTGAGTCTTAGAGTGCCATTTCTCAGGCTGCGCATTTCTTTCTCCAAGGCTGAGAAACCTTGTGCTGTCCTCGAAGCAGTATTGTTCATCGCCATATGGGATAAGGTAATTATTAGCCATATAAATTTTCATTTTATAGGACAGTTCTAATTCCTGGAGGCCAACAGTTACTATGGTAGATCTCATTTCTCTCACACTTTTTCAGCTGACTACACACGAGTATAAATTATTGCTGTTTCTCCTGTGGTAGTACTTTGTGGACCCGGTTTGGTAGGACTCCCAGTGTACTGGGCGCTGTGCAAACTTATTGGAAGATACAGCCCCCTGAAGGCCTTACAAGCCTCACAAGCTGTGTAAGCAAGGAGAATGCATTTACATATTTTTGTGCATTCAAAAACTATGTTTCAATTATACCTACTTGTCCTTTAGCCTGTTCTTAATTAGCTGTGGGCATCATAGAAGAAATGTATAGACACGGAGATGAAAATATTTTCTAAAATAGAAGCTAGAAAGGTTTGATTTTTGGATTTCCCTTTCTTGTTTTGATTCCTTTTCTTGCCATGTCAACATTTTTGCAGTTATCAGTAGCATCATTGTATTGCTCATAATTACTTTCTGAGGAAGAACGCAAATATTCGCTGTTTCTATTCAGGCTATTAAAATTGCTCTATCAATCATCCTGGTTTGAAAATTATAATAAATTCAGCCCTTTTTTTAGATAACGATAAAAACTTTCCAGCCCTCCCTCTCCACCAGAACAGCAGGAGAAGATAGGTAATAGCATTTCAATGAAGTCACGTTCTTGTTCCCTGAGTGAACTGGTCCTGTGGACCAGCAAGAAGTCCAGGGGAGGTATAATTCTCCCTGGCGTCCGAGATGAGTTACCAGCCTTTTACATATTACATATTTTATATTTTATCTAAGGGGTCTTTATATTTTGATAGCATCCAAGTTTCATTTAAGGCGATATGTAACCACACAGTGGAGGGCAGTAGTAAGACTTGCCCCCTCAACTCTTCGCTAATTCTTTCGCTTTGAGGGCAAAGCCTTACAAAGTTGTGTCTTCAGCCTTCAGCTGACGTTTAACACCTCATATGTTTGAACCCCGGTAAAGCAGGCTGGAAAAAAAGGGCTAGAGGAAGTTAAATCCAGGTCTCTGCAGACAGCACAGCGGTGTGTTTGTAAAAGCCACTCCATCTAGTGGCAGTCACTTTGCACAGCTGGTCTGGCAGTGCCCATCAACAGCCACCGGCTGATGGGAGAAATGTCTAAAATGGTGTTCAGCTATGGGTTTTCTGGTTTTGGTCTTCAAGATAAAAGATGCTCAAAATTTTTATCTATTGTTTAATCCTTATCCGTAATCGTAATTCATTACTTACTGTGAATTGCTGCATGCAGTCATAGAAATACACCAAAAATTTTGAGTGCCGGCATCAGCATGGGCCCTTCCTCATCTTTAATCAATGTTTCAGTTATTTTTAAAGCCATTTTAAAATGAGTGAGGTAGTGGAGCTCATTCAAGGAAGGGATGAGGCTGAGAGCTTTGGAGACTCAAAGGCTCTGTTGGAAGAGCAGCTTTTGGCAGGGCAGGGAGGCTGTCCCTCGGCAGGGCAGGGAGGCTCTCCCTCGCTGCCACCCTGCCCGCAAGGGGACCTCGCTGCAACGCACGGCCGTCACCCCAGCCCCGTCCAGAGAGGAGGGATCTGTGCAGGGGACCCTTGTCCGCTAGGGAGGCTGTGAGAAGGCTTCCAGAGTATTTCATCTAGAGATGTTAATGGGTCTCAGGCGATATGGGTTTGGGTCACGTTGATGCCAGCTGCCAAGAGCACGTGGGGTGCGGTGTCCCGTTCTTGTGGGCAGAGCCCCCTCGCCGCTCCAGGTTCGGACAGGAGAGCTCAGAGTCAAAATTTGCGTGACACTGGCACATCCACCTAACCAAACAAAAAGACCAGGAAAAGAAAAAAGACCAAAAGACCAAAAAAAGACCACTGCTCCCACCATCAGCTTTTCAGTCTATTTCAAATCGTGCAACACCTCAGACTGTGAGCTGGGCTCTCCTGAGAACCTCAGTGCCAAAGGTCCGGTCTTGTTTTCGCTAGGCAACCATGGAAAACCTCACTGATCACTTCAGCGCATCTCAGTATTGTAGCTTATAGTGAGGCAAGCTAGTATCTAAATTAAAATAAACAAAATTCCAGTAAAGTGCAATTCCAGATCAGGCGAATGGCTGTTTTACTGCAACTTTAATAAAAATCAACTGTTACTTGAATCGGTGCATGCACACATACTGCTAGAAATTTCCAATTATGATATTCCCAGCAGCAAACAAAAACAAAATTAATGTCAGCTGCATCCCCCAAAGCCTAAACTACACCACTAATGAACTCCCAAGTACTCTCAAAGAAAACTCTCTTTGCAGAGACAATAAGGTGGAAATTACTCTAATAATCTCAATGTAAAAATACAGAGGGAAAAAAAATCATTGACATTCAGAGTAAGACTTGCCTCTCCTGATCCCATTAACTGCGTTGTTAGCATAGCATATGCATGCATAGTGATATTGTCACATAACTCACTGCCACCTTCAAAAGAGCACGCAGGAATCCGTGTTCTTTCATTTGTATTTCAAACAAAGGTAGGGGTTGCACGGCGGCTTGCACCTTGTTCTGAAGAAGTCTGCACTTAACATGACTCCAGCAGGGACCAGCTACCTCGTAACAATTTGTTTGTCTGTCTAGCAGAAGTGCTCAGTTGCATACAATTTTTGAAGCTTTACTCAAACATAATCTTCTCGACATGGGGCTATGGCTTTAATCATTAAAATGGTTGTCTCTTTTCTGTCAGAAATAAGCTGGAATAACAGAATACCACAGCCATCTTTACATGTTTATAGAACTACTTGATTTATTTAATATTTTTTGGGTAGTTTTCAAATGAATAACACATTCTTCACTTCTGGTTTTAAACTGGTGTTGTAATGCCAAGTTTAAAGTTGACGGACTTCACCCAAAGCAGATTTGTCAGTTGTCAGGGGGTCATCTTTGCAACACGTATCATCTGCAAATTCTACTAGGAACAGCTGTAAAGCACTTTCTGGATGAAAAGTATGTTACATATTAGATTATTGCTGTTCATTTTTAATGTGTGCTTCAGTGACATTTCCCTCCCTCACTGCTCAAACCCTCAAAATTACATTCCTTAATATTGTCTGTCTGTCTAATAATTATGTTGTTATTTGCTGCGCAGCGATGCCTGCAGAAGCTGACACAGCAAGTGCCTGTGTTGTGTGTTAGACTACCCTGGTAAGGGTTGTTAATACTCATCCTTGTTTGCAGCACTAGAGCTGCAGTGTCTTCTGGAGGTCTAGGTTCCTATATTTCCTCTAACACTCAATGTCCAGGCCTGCTGAATCAAATGGAAAACTTTAATGAACTATGGTAAAAGTCTTGAGTGTTCAGATGCCACGTGTAAGTGCAGTATAAATATCTCATCAGCCAAATGATCTCTGCTTCTTTTGGAATTGCTCATGATTTCTTCGGGTTTTAAGTATTGGTTTTGTACAGATGAATCGTTTTCTTCTTTCTTTTAGTTTTCATGGGAGAACTGAGCTGTGGTACCTACTGTGCAAGTCTCCTCTTTAGGAGATGAGGTGATCATTACTCTGGGTTTTGGCAGATAATCCCTTGTGGCCTTTCTGGCCTTTATTGTCAGTTGTGTAAAGTGAACAGGTTAAGTCAGTACAAGCCTATGTATGGCATCTGGGATTTCTTGGGTGTCGCAAACAATTTCCTCCATTCTAAAAGCACGAAAAAGCTTGGTTTTGCTCCTGTTCCTGATGTAATCATCAAGGTGTCCCGTAGCAGATGCAGAATAGCTGTAGCACACCAAAGCAACGATTCTGGCTCTTTTTTACATTCAGACCACTCTCAGCCGCTCTGGCAGTGGAAGGGGGCCCTAAAGCAGATGTTCAATGCATATTCAAGGCATGTTATATGGGCAAAGTTATATAAAGGAGCACAGCATCAGAAGAGCTGTATCTTACATGTTGATGCGTGTAGGATGCCCAGATGCTGATGAGGGTGCTCTCCCAAGGGTACCCTGGCCAGGAGTTACACCCTGCAATTAATCACCATCCGCGAGCAAAGGCCAGGCATGACGGGACTCAGAGACCACTGGCTACCTGGGAACTTTCTGCTGGGCTCCTCATTTCGGAGGGGACAGAATGTTTTTGAGGGCGTCCCCAATGGGACGAGTTACATTTCCATGCTTCTCGCAGGAGCAGTGGCTGCTGGTCCCTTTTGCTTGGAGTTTTGGCCAGGGCTGCACTCTGACCCAAACGTGGTGCCATGTTTTTCTAGGCAAGAGTGAACTGCCCTGATTGAAGCTTCTGATCCACGCAGAATGGAGCACCGACGGACTCGCTGACTTAGCAGTGCTGGTCACCTTTCCTGGAACTGTGGACAGGGCTGGGTAACAACCAACCTCTCCCATAGAGTCCGAACATCCCAGTTGCTTTGGTATGCTTAGCAGAAGGAAGGAATAGAGTAATGAAGCTGTATCCACATCCCTATATTTGTAGATGAAACACCTTGCTAATAAATTTGCAGTAACAAATTTAGGATGTTAGCAGACCTCAGGTTGCTGTAACAGTGTAATGTGAATATACAGGCATACTGGGTGAACTGTGAAACTTAGAGTGCATGGCTCTTCCCCTGTTCCCTCTCTGTTGTCAGGTTTTCAAAACCCTCAGTGCCTTTTGAAAGAAAAGCAATGAAGGCAATGATTCAGTTTAATGCTGCTCCTGCAGTGGCACTTGGTATTATCCAAATGAAGCAAGCCCAAGGAATATTGGTCTGTGAGGTACTTTGCAATCAGAAGCCAAGTTCAGATCTAGAGAAGAATATCTTTCTGGTGGAGTGGCTCAGAAGGTTTTGATGAGAAATGAAAATTACTTTCCTGTGGAATACTCAGTTCCCTGCGCCTCCAGTTTTTGCGTCACTTCTCAGTGTAATGCAGTTTTAGTGAAATCCAGGTGATTTCTTTCCAAGTGCTCGACTCACCCTGGCACTGAATACAAGAGAAAGGTTGATTTTGTTTGACGCAGTTCAACTAAGTTGTTTGTGGAGTTTGTCTCCCTGTTTATCTTAATGAAGTCTGATCTTTTCCCCTTCTAGGATTTCCTCCGATGCATTTTTCCCTCCCCCAAGTCTCTCTGAAACCAACAAGACTGGGGTTATGAAGTCAATCCTAGATGGCCTCGCAGATACAACTTTCCGAACAATCACAACAGATCTCCTTTACGTGGGCTCCAACGATATCCAGTACGAAGACATGAAAGGCGACATGGCATCCAAGCTGGGATACTACCCCCAGAAGTTTCCTCTCTCCTCCTTCAGGGGTGATCCTTTCCAAGAAAAAATGACTGCGGGAGATGATCCCCTGTTGAGCATCATTCCCTCAGATCAGGTCAACATCACAGAGTTTTACAACAAGTCCCTGTCGACATTTAAGGATAATGAGGAGAACATACAGTGTGGGGAGAACTTCATGGATATGGAGTGCTTTATGATCCTGAACCCCAGCCAGCAGCTGGCCATCGCCGTGCTGTCGCTCACCCTGGGCACCTTCACGGTCCTAGAGAACCTCCTCGTCTTGTGCGTCATCCTCCACTCCCGAAGCCTCCGGTGTAGACCCTCCTACCATTTCATTGGCAGCCTGGCTGTGGCCGACCTCCTGGGCAGCGTGATTTTTGTCTACAGTTTTGTGGATTTCCATGTTTTCCACCGGAAGGACAGCCCCAACGTCTTCTTGTTCAAACTGGGTGGAGTTACAGCCTCCTTCACCGCCTCCGTAGGTAGCCTTTTCCTCACGGCAATAGACCGGTACATATCTATACACAGGCCACTAGCTTACAAAAGGATTGTCACCCGACCAAAGGCTGTCGTAGCGTTTTGTGTGATGTGGACCATCGCTATTGTAATAGCCGTTCTTCCTCTGCTCGGCTGGAACTGCAAAAAGCTCAACTCCGTTTGTTCGGACATATTCCCTCTCATTGACGAGACGTACCTGATGTTCTGGATCGGGGTCACCAGCGTCCTCTTGCTGTTCATTGTCTATGCCTACATGTACATACTGTGGAAGGCTCACAGCCACGCTGTTCGCATGATTCAGCGGGGCACGCAGAAAAGCATAATCATTCAGTCCACGGAGGACGGTAAGGTACAGATCACTAGGCCTGATCAAACTCGTATGGACATCAGGTTAGCCAAAACCTTGGTCCTTATCCTAGTTGTTTTAATCATATGCTGGGGCCCTCTCCTCGCCATCATGGTGTACGATGTCTTTGGGAAAATGAACAAGCTCATCAAGACTGTCTTTGCCTTCTGTAGCATGCTCTGTTTGCTGAATTCAACAGTGAATCCCATCATCTACGCTCTGAGGAGCAAGGACTTGCGACACGCCTTCCGCAGCATGTTCCCCACCTGCGAAGGAACCGCGCAGCCCCTCGACAACAGCATGGAGTCTGACTGCCAGCACAAACACGCCAACAACACGGGGAACGTGCACAGGGCTGCCGAGAGCTGCATTAAGAGCACAGTTAAGATTGCCAAAGTTACCATGTCTGTCTCCACAGACACGACTGCTGAAGCATTGTAAGTCAGAGACTTCTCAGCGTTGTGAGAAAAAGAGTTAGTTTAAAAAAAAAAAAAAATCAACAACAGAGAAAACCAAACCCGTGGCTTAACGTGTTTGTACCCTCCTGTAATATTTTTTTGGTTTGTCATTGTAAGCTCAGCGATGATTGTGTTAAGAGCATTACCATCAGCCAGTTCTTCAGGTTTTACAATTAGGGATTCAAGCTAAATTTTCAAAAGTTCTTTTCTCAAAAGGTGTTTACTGAATAATAGTAAGTTTCCTGAAAGAGCACAGAGAAAATACCAGGTTAGCAACAGTTTCTTTTGGGGGTGTGAAGAAAAATTGCGAAACCTAATTGAAAACTAATGCATCCTGAACCAATACCATCAGATAAGAAAAAAAGCCTTGTAATCATGCTGTTCATTTCAATGTGAAGTGTATTTCATGTCTGTAAGTAATAGGAGTTTTTGATTTTTTCCAAAAGCGGCAGTGCTGAGTTTTAGAGGTTTTGTAAAACGTGTCGTGTCCCGTGAATTGTATGCTGTTTTATTATGTGTTATTGATATTTGTCTGATTAAACGAAGTGATAAGGTAGACTTCCGTGGAAATAATGTGAAACGTGATATGTAAACCCCATTGAAAACACTTAATGTATTTGAAGAATTCCTATGAGCTATTTTGGAAATCTTACACTTTTAGTGGTCTTCTGTGGACTTAGAGGAGAGGCTTTGTGTTCTTCTACTAAAATTATTTCCCCACTACCTTTTACTTTCACATGCATACGAGAGTAACAGCAACAAAGGAATAGAGGAGGAGTGTAAGAGAGGAATGCACTGGTTCAGACTTTTAAATACCACTGCGTTTATACAGAAGGACATTTATGGTTGTACAGACTGTCGCCCTGCTCTCGGGCGTTGCGTGAATACGAACACTGAAAGGCGAAGGTCCCGGATATTGGCTCCTTTAACGGGCAACTGGTTTTAAGCCACGTGCTGGTGCTGGACTACTGAAGACAGCATGTGTCAGACTCAATGTGCGATGTTATCACTGTGCAGTCAATGTATACTTGAAGTGTGTCGCATTCCTGTATCCCAGGTCTAAGCAGATTCAGAGCCTGAGATGCCAAACTCCCATCTTCACTAAAAGAGGAGGAAATATTGTCAGACTTAGACATTTTCTTATTGTGTGAGCGTGTATATAAATAAATATCTGTGTGTGTGTACGTGTGTGTGCGTGTGTGTGTGTAAGTATACTAATCAGTGTGAGTCATGGTAGCGTAACTAAGATAGGTCACTATGACCAAATGTAAACTGTATTTCTTGTTGCACGCTTTGCACACAAATTCTGTTTCTAAAATTGAGTTCTTCCAATTGATTACTGATGAAAGTACCGTATTAAGAACATCCCGATCTGCTCTGAGAGGGGTGTCCATGTGCTAGAGAAAGCAACCTTCAGTTGTACTTGAGAATAAGGGGAAACAAGAGGCAGATTATGGCATGAGCCCGCACTGACAACTGCAGTGGCTGTCGGTAGTGTTCCTGAAAACTGAGAAAGCCAGAAATAAATGATAATTTGTTTTAGGACCCTCAGTATTCAAATCTGAGTGCTTGAAATGACGTGAGTCTCACTGTGAAATCAGGATACAGATGACAAGGTTTGGCACCATCAGCTTTGAGGAAGGAGGTTATTGAAGGAAAATGGCGCCTCTGTTCCCTGGTGGGATTGCTTCTGTAGCCTGGGACTTACAGGGAGCATGTTACCGGCTAGTCTTTGAGGCACGGGTATTCTGTAATTCCGTTCTGAATCAGAAGGTATGGGGTCCTCTTTGCTGCCTTGCTTTTTTTGACCGTTTCCTCACCCTTCTTCTGGCTGATTTCTGCCAAAATAGCTGCCAAGGCGGCTTAGCCCGCCAGCTGCCTGACGCTTGCCGCGAGAGGGGCGACTCCCTCCGTGGCACCGGGTGAATGGAGGCAAATCCACGCTGCCCTGCTGCCCATCCTCGGGGTTATGTAGGAAAAGAGCAGGGTGGCAGCGCTGGGGTCTCTGTCCGCCGTGGTGTCCCCATGGTGTTTCTGATAGCTCAGCGCGGGCCAGAGCAGCCGGTAGCGCAAGCGGCCCGGCCGATTTCAGCCCGTGGCTCTGCGGGGGCAGAAGTGGCTCCAAGTTCAGGCTCGGTGAGGGGCGGCACGTTTTAAAGATCTCATCAGGCGAGGTGCTGAGCAGCAGCTGGAAGACACGGGGGAACTTTCCTCCTCCACCCCCCTCCCCTGCAGCTTGCCTGGGTGGTAGGACAGGGCACCACGCTCTTGAGGGGGCCGCGGCAATCGGCCAAAACCGGCGGATTGCAGAGGATTCCCAGAGGACATGCAAGTCCTCCTTCTGAAAGATCTTTCTCATATCTAGGCGTAGTCCATCCTAAAGCAGTCCTCTTGGAGGAGGCGGGAGGAAAGGCCATTTGAAATGTAAAGGTATTTTAAGAGCCATTTTTGAAACTGACTTCTTGTGAATTAAATGCAAACTTCGTGGACTTTAATTGTGCATTCAAGTTCTAAATTTTACATGATAAATCATGGGACAATGGGGCTGTCTTGGCACTTAACTTGGTGCTTACTGATATAATAAGAAATAGCATCCTGTGAAATGTTACTGTCTATCATCAGTATCTTCATTTGCATAATGAGTTTTTCTAAAGCTCTGGGAACTGTGTCGGTTCACTTAGAACCATTTATTAAAGAGGTGGCAACAATTTCCCTACCCGTTGCGCACTAAGTAGAACTACTCTTTCATTAGAAAAATCTGCTGCCGTTCCAAGATAAGCTGTACTTAAACTTCAGCTTTAGGTATTCCTAATTTGCAGTTGCCTACCTTCACTTAGTGATAGCACAGCCAAACGATACTGTGTTCCACGGCCACCCACGCCGTCATCATCAACCAACCAACCCTAGCTGCAGTTACGTATACGTACCAACTCCAAGTGTCGCGTATCTACCGAGAAGATCATCTGTGTCACGTGCGTGCAGAGTTAGATTCTCAACAGTCTAATTGTATATTTGTATAATATAATCTCCTCAATGCTGTGCAATCACTATCCACATCTTCTTGCACTGGCCTTTTGATGAAAATTTTAGTGTGTCTATTGTGAGATAGACAGCGCATTTTACCTGCTGTTATTGGGCTGAATGTATGTAAATAAGTGAAAAATAAAAAACAGTCATCTGTACAAGCAGTGGCCTAAAAAGTCTGTAATTGTAGACTAGGACAATTGTTGAAGTTGCTGTGACATCTCAAATACTACCTTTGAATAAACTGTTTACAGGGTGTCTTGGGATGTTGTTTCATAGTGAAAGGAAAGTCTTTCCTTGTGATAATATGAGGTAAAGAAATTGGATTACCTGAGCTTTTTATTTCCAGTGTTTCAAAGTGGAGAACATAACTCTTTATTGTCTGTAAATCTAACATTATTACTTCCTCTTAGAAGAATATTGTATCATTAGATGTTTGTTTGAGCTGGTAACATCCTTGCAACTGCTGCAATATTTTTCATTAGCAACCTGTATAATAGTTTGTACACAAGTACTGTTCAGATTGTCATGAAAAGTAGCTTTGACCATTTACCTACCAGTAGCAGAATAGTATTTCTGTAAGATTTCCAGTGTATTCCTACCATATCATATTTTATTTCTATAATGTAATTAAACTGTTATTTATTCAAGGAGAAAAAGTATTCCTCTACTTTTTTTGTTTTCCAAATTTTGAGATAACTGAGGAAGCCACGTGATGATTCTGCCTCATCCCACAATCTGGTGCTCTACGTTTTGTTTATAAGTTTGTCTGTCAGATTCTGAAACAACTGCTTAAACAACTTGACAACAGGTTGTCAAGCTTTGTGGGTTTTAATTGTACATTGATATGTTTGAAGGAGGAGGTAGATTATATATTTTATATTTGTGTATTCAGTACTATGGAGACGAGAGAAATGACATAGTTAAAACTGAATCTCCTGTTTCATTATGTAGGCAATTTCCCCTTTCCTCTGTATTAGCCAAAATGCAATAAATCTCTTTTGCCTTCCTCAGATGCATATGTTTGCACAGAGATGTCACATTAAGACAAACCCATATACTTCAGAAGAACAAAACACAAAAGAGCAGAAGAAAGGAATACAAGCTAAAACAGTGCTGCCAAGAGCAACGATGACCTAAATTAGTTATTGGTGGTTGTAAATGTAATCAAAGACTTGAGGCAAACAAAAAGTTAGTCTAGTTTTGGCCAGTGCTAGTGGGGACAGAGTTGGGCGGGGGGGCGACGGAGCAGTCCAACAGGGATGCACAAAAGCTGTGCAGGGAGAGCAGGCTCAGCCGTGCCACTGCCTACGGGGCAGCCTAAAGTGCCCCGCTGCCTACGGGGCACACTGAAGTGCCCTGCTGCTGCTCATCCACAACTGAAAGGAAGGGTTGAAAAACCATTTATAATCTCTTTGTGGTCCCCTACGCCCCATCCAAAGCCCACTAAATGCTGCAGAAAGGTCCCTGGCCATTTCAAGGGATCAGTTTTTCATATGACTTAATCTCAGATTCATGTTGCTTGGGCAATTTTCCTTCTCCACATTTGTGGTTTGAAAACAGTGGAGGTCCTTAGGGGATGAAGTGAGTCTGTCCTGGGGCCCTGGATCATCGTTGTGCCACAGTATTTGTATTTTTAAAAATTAGATCACTGATGAATTGAGAAAGTCTTGGCAAAACAAAAGCAACTAGAAATGACAGATGAGCTCTTAATCTTTAGCTGCGTACTACATTTAAATGAAGAAGTCTGAATATTTCTGCTGAAAGCTGTCACTTCCAAAGCAGCCAGGAGACAATTCCCACTGTATTCACATGTTCACTAGAAAATAAGGGCTATACTGCCACAAACTGACAGTTCCTCTTGATGGTAACACCTAAATCTATTCTAAACAACACAAGAAGAAATAATGACAACTTTCCAAGCAACTGCTTTCCCACACTATACCAGCTCAGGAAGTGTGCGGGCAAATACACTGTCATAGTTTCAGTCTTTCACATTAGCATCCATTATTATTTCCGCTCTTCTGACAGTTGTTTTAAGAAGTCACAATATCATCACGCGTGCACATAATTAATAAAATATGTGCATTTTGTTTCTGGTTGTTTTTTTTTTTTTAAATAGGCTTTGTCTTCAGTGACAGTCCAGCTTTGGCTTGATTTAAAAATTAAATCATAATGTCTGCAAACAGATTATAAAAGAGGAAAAAAAACCATTTTGCCTGTGTTTAAGAAAGCATAGGGTGGGGGGTTTTATTTGACAGTTTAGAATACACGTCTTCCTCTGTTCTGCCTTTGTCCATTGGTCTTTTTAGGTAATGGATATAAAGAATATCAACAGAGTTTTCTTTAAATAGCAGCACAACGTATGAGGCACATGATTGCCTTTAACAGGGCTCCTTAATATGAACGGCTATCTAATACTAATCTTTAAAATTCAGTTAACAGAAAGAGTGATAATAAGCCCAAGTAATCTTAATGACTAGGTATGACAGGCCTGGTATTGCTTTCCAATAAATCATCTTTGGTATTCAGAGCAGCGCTCAGTTTAATGTTAAAGCATATTAAGGTATGGAATCCTGCCTCAATAAAGTCACTAAGGATTTTTTATTGACTTCAGCAGAAATTATACCTTACCCTAGATTTTCAAACTATGAGTTTGCATTTGGAAAGTGCAATTTTATATTCCCTTGTATTTGCATTTTCAGTGACATTAAAACAAAGACGAGACAGAATAAATAACAGCCTCTATATTCATTGTTTTTTTTTACCTCCAAGATAAGCTGTTTTGAATTCTGGTGGGTCAATGCAGAATCATAAAGTCTGGCAGGAGTTCAATGGACTTGTCATGGGAGTGAAGCAATTTATTTATCCATATGTGTGCAGATGGGGTAGAGAACATCATGAACAAAACTGCTCACAGTAATGCTGAGAGTCGCTTCCTGACTACTTGCACTGATGCTGTTTTCATGCTGCTTTCTCTCCCTCTCTCCGTATATATGCATATATGTGTATGCATAGTGAAAACAGGCTATGCACATATTCAAAAATGTTGCCCCAAAATAAAGAAGTATCTCTACATGTAATAATAATAATAATAATAATAATAATAATAATAATAATAATAATAATAATAATAATAATAATGTGAAACAGCTTCACA